CGCTTGGACGATCGCATTATCCGAACAGACTGGGACGCAGGCTTCAAAGAGGGCCGACAGTATGGAAGAGGACGATCTGGGGGGCAGGTAAGGTCCCTGAGGTCAGGCCTCACTCTGGTTTTCCCATCTGATGTTAGCTGTTTTTCTCATTCTGAAATATGGTGTCTGGAATTTGGGTTTCCATTGAACTTCAGAAGCAGTGGATAACATTTGTGTCAGCATTTTCAGTAGTTAGCTCATTACCATTGGATTGTGGTGGTTGGAGGTACTTGTAAATTAGTGCCTGACACAAACCACAGCACCCTTTTTTCTGATATTGATGAGCTGTGTATTATTTGAAAAGAACTGCACACAATTTGAACTTCGTCCCAAGGCTTTTATTTATCAAGAGGATTAGGGAGCTCTGGGGTCAATCCAGTGAGAGGCAATTGTCTTTTGGCTGCATCACAACACTTGTCTGGGTGTGATGCTAAATGAACCACATGTTCCAAAGGGACACTTGTTAAGCTGCAACTTCCCCGCCCACCTCAGTTGTTATCTATGGTTTTTGTGGTGTCTCATTCTCTCCTGGGCTGTGACAACATCTTATGCTTTTTCCTTTTGAGGTACGAGATGAGTACCGAAAAGACTATGATGCTGGCAGAGGAGGCTATGGGAAAATGTGCAAAATCAATGAGTGATGGAAGCCCCTCGTGTACAAACAGACGACGTTGGCTGGTTGACAGATCCCTGGAAAAGCAATGCTCATGTCCTGAAAACAGCTGATGTAGAACAGGCTCTCTTTGGTTTCTCTGCCTCCACACGGGAATTAAGCCCCAAACCTCTACTTGGCTTTTCCACTCTGAAAATCATTAAATGTCCGAAACTAAGCAAGTGACTGTGTTGGAGCCTTGAGGTCTGGTCAGCTTGTCCTAAGGAACAGTAACTGAGTGGCTCTGTTCATAGATTTGAAGCCATTATTGCACAGGATTAGAAGTCTCATTTTATGACTGTGTTACTTACTGTTCACAACTTGGGAGTGGTCATTTAGGGGAAAGATCCTCATGAAATTTGTATGAAATGAGTATAATGATCTGTGCTGTAGAGGCAATAGCCTATAAATGAGGAGATTTATTTCTAAGCTTTTTGAAGTTATCCCTTGTTCCCAAGGTGGCTTTTGGCTCATAAAGATACACAAGTTATTAGGGCATTCCTAAAACAGTTCTCTTGTCTCAGCATTAATGATCCAACAGACCCAGAGAGAGGGCTCTGCTCTAGTGTTCTGAATGGATGATCTAGAAAGCAATGTGTATTTACAGTCTTAAGCACCATCCCTGAGCTTTCACTGGGAAGCTGGTCCAAAGGATGTGCAAGGAAACGGGATCTTCTATGGGAAATGCCTCCTACAGACTGTAGGGAAGAAATACCAGAGGAATTCCAGAGGTTCATTTTAACTTGGAAATTGGGACAAGTGATGCTAGATCTATTGTATTTATTTTACCAGAGTGGGAAGGGAACTGGGAGGATTGAGAAGACAGCCCCAAAATCAAGGAAACAAAACCTTCCTAATGGGAAAGACTGGATAAGTTTCACTTAGAACAGATTTCCTGGTCTGTGATTTGAGGCCACACCCAAATGATAGGGTCACTCAATCAGCTTTTGCATTGCTGATAAAAGAACTGAATTCTTGTTGAATTGTGTACCTGAGATGACTCAGCTGGGACACAGTAGGAGGGTATTCACTCCAACTAGGCAGAGAGATTTACCTTTATGGCTAAGTCTGTTGGCGCATCTGCATCTATTAGGGAGGACAGATTGGAGCTCAACTGCAGAAACCCATTGTAATTCATTTAAAGAATTTTTATCAAAGAAAAATCAAGAAGGCCTAAAGTCAACCAGTAACTTGCCATCTTTTCAGTGGTCTGTGGCTTAGGACACTGGGGAGGAAAGCTCTTATGGGTAAACTTCCTTTTGCATGTTGAACTATGACCAGGTGATCAGTTGTAGAGTTTACATGAGTTGTCTTGTTTCAAGTGACCCTAATGTGTACATTGTGATGTGGGTTGAACCATATCCATGTCTTAACTATGAACAGGGCTTTGGGTTTGCAAACGCCATAACAGTCTGGCAAGGAACGGTCACATGCTGGCTAGAGAAGAGGGTGCTTTTCTCACACCCATGGAAAGCTTGGCCTTTTTTTTTTCCCTATTGTTTTCTTACAGGATAGTTTTAGTTGTATATTTTATTTCATTCTGTGATAAATAGAAAGGTTGAATCTTAACAAGAATTTTAGAAGGAACCATGCTTTCTCTCACGAATTACTTGGCCAGGTCCCCTTCCAATAAAGGTGTAACCATCCCTCCATCCTTCGTTGTCTGTGTGCTGCCATTCCTCTACTTCAAAACAGGTGGGAAGGAAGTGGTCAAAGTGGAATGAGGAAGGGCATGTTCTGCACAGTCTCCAGCGTGTTTGTGGCCTTGCTCCCTGAGCGATGCCTGCTGCGGCAATGGCCAGTCTACTCGCCCACCTCAGGGATGTCAGCCTTGTCAGTCCTCACCTCCCTCTGTAGGCAGATGACAGGACCACCACCTGGATTAGGTGGAGCCACCTCACAAAATGTGCAAAGCAGTGAAGAACCTTATGTTTCTTGTTTTTTTAATGCCTTAGGAAACCTCAGAAGGGTTTTGTACTTATCTTAGGAATAAGAGTGTAGAGAGAAAGTGGATTGGGCTAGATACTGATCCCAGAGAATCGGTCAGACGGGGCAGCAGTGAAGGAAGGCCTGTCCCCAGGGCCTGCAGAAAAAGAGGCTGACCAGAGTGCCAGGAGAGAAAGGTCCTTATTCTCTATGTAGCAACAAGAGCCGTACTCCCAGCCCCAATCATCTGCAGACTTATAGCTAGGTGAGCCTGTCTTCATATTCAGCTGTGGGAGACGGGGGTTTGGGGAAGGGCTAGGGGAGGGTGCTGCCGGAAATAGGGACATTTCCCCTAGAAGCCTTGTTAGAAATGTGGAAGTTCTGTGGTTCAGCCAGGTAGAGATGGGTTTATAAATGAAATCCTAGCTAAGGGTTGAAAGACTGACATGAGAGCCCCAAGTCCACGGCCAGCTTCCTGCCCCTACCAATTATGAGGTGAGTAGCTTTGGCCACTGTCTCTTGGTACTCCAGCACTTGTCACGCTGGGTTTGTGGCGTGGTGCGCTGCAGCAGCAGGAAAAGCTCCTGATCTGTGGTTGGGAGGAGGGTCACCTTCCTCATCTCCGCATTTTCTTCATGGTGTCAGGCTCTTGTCTCCCTTGTTTTCTTAAAACACTGTATTTCTCTTTTGTTCCCCATCCTTCCTACCTTGTGTTACACCATAAGGACTTCTGTGCCTTGGAAATAGTAGGCACTTAATATTGCCTGAACTGAATTAATGTTTTCCCAAATCATGAAACAAACTTAGACCAAGAAGCCTTCTTGTTTTACAGGCGAGGCTCTGAAAGGTGACGGAATGTGCCCGAGGTCACATGGATGACCCTGAGTGGCAGTCACCTGCCTCAGTAGAGGTTTTGCATTTCTCAAGAACTCTGAGGCAGGACTGTTAATCCATCTAGGGTGGTCTCTACTGGAACTTCTGGCATGTTCCACATCTGACTCCATTAAAGGCGTTTGGTTTTCAGCTAGCTTTTGCCCGAACAGATTTTCTGAAGTCACTGTAAGAACCCAAGATTACTCTGTCCATCAGTTCATATTGCTACAATCACCAGCGTCCACTTAGGTTTACTGACTGTTCATTAGTGACCCTTTTATTAAAGTGCCACTGAAAAGTTCTCCCTGCACAGTGTTACCCAACACAAAAGGACACATATTTATAAAGTCATTAGTTTATTACTCAAAAATATTTTACTAAGTTCCCCCCCCAACATTTCACTTTTTACTACATGTTTGATATTGGAATTTTACATCATCATCGCCTTTATCTACAGTATGTATAGTTTTGTCTGATTCACTGGGTAAAAATCCTTTTCTGTGAAGACCAAGCACCCGCAAATGGACCTTTCCAATTTTCCAGTCTCTGTGAAGCAGCTTCTTCCCCTGAAGGCCTTCTTTGCCTCTTCCTTATCCACTGTCAATTCACGATTATTCTCCTCCTGGGGCACCACTGCCCATCTAGCTTTGAGGTTCTCAGAATGAAGCTGTAAGCAGAATGGGAAGTTGCCTTTTTGTTCCCTCCCCACACAAGCAGTCCAGCAGGACAGGTACCATTCTCCTCTGATCCAGGGAATGCCTGACCGAACCCCATTCTGAAAGGGCAGCCAAGCTTCTGCTGTCGCTAGTCTAGCAACGAAATGGAGAGCAAGCCACATGTCTGGCTCCAACTACGGCTTTTCTCACCTTGGCTCTAGTGTGGCAATTCAAGGACCCCAGAACCCCCTATTTAAAATAAGGAGAAGGAGCACGACAAAGTCAACAGGAGGTGTTTTGGGGATTCTTCTCCCCAGTGTACCCTCTCCATGGGCTTAAATGAGAGCTGGTTGTACAGAGCTTCCGTGAGCGAAACACTGAACTAAGAGTGGCTGAGTTTCACTGTCTTCCCTATGGATTTATCGCAGGCAAGCTCGGGGGCAGAATCACGGTGGCCAGCCTGGCTGCTCAGAGCACACCTGCCTTCTCAGTGTGCGCTAAGTGCCGCTGCTGCCGCGATACAAAGCCTGCACAAACACGGATCGACCCGAGCAAGAGAGCCTCGGAAGGCATTTCAAGGCCGGCTTCCCGCTGGGAGTCTACTTCAGAACAGCTGTGCCGGCGGGGAACACAGACCGCTAACACATCAGGAGGATGAGGGACACTGTTCTAATCCAGGTCACTGACCTAGTGAGTCAATACACCCACATAGAAGCTGGCAGAATCTAAGTGATGGCGAGGGCTGAACAACCAGGCAAACAAAGCCCTCCTCCATGGCCACGAGTGTCTAACACTCAGCCAAATGTCCTCGCTCTCCTCAACACCGGAATCCAAAATCTTTGGTGGCACGTGTGCTACTTAGTGGAAAAGAAAAAGTCATCTGTCCTGGTAGAGTCCCCTGTCACTGGGGTCTTCGAGTTCATTTTCCCTAAAGGCACACCTTGTGAACAGTGTGGTGGGCATTTCCCACGTAATGGCCAAGAACAGCCTGGCATCTGCTCCAGTCATGCCAGAATGGCTCTGTACTGCCCTTCTCAAGGCTGGAACTGTAGAGGAGGCTTTTGGAGGGCTCTGGGTTGGAGGGTAAAATAGGCCTTCTGGACTATCCAATGGTCATGCTTTGGTTTAGCCAACAAAGAGGCTTGGGGTATGAGAGCAAAACCTTCCCCACAGAAACTGTTGTGAGTGCTGAAAAGCTATAAGTAGATATGAGAGTGGGGGGCAAACACACGGGGGAGGCTGGAAGGCAAACCAAGATTGACTCAGCACAATTTGTTACACTGATTAATAAAATGTCCTTCTTTTCCTGATGCTGACATCACCCTCCTTGCAGCCTGGCAGCACCCACGAGGCTCTCTCTACCAGGCCCATGCCCCACACTCTGCTGACGTGGGATCTTTCCTGGGACAAGACCCGACTGGAGATGGAACAGATTCCAATGTAAACCACTGGGGTGATGGTGCTAGGGACAAGTGCCCCTGGTCCATGGCAGCCCTGGGTATAAGCTGTTAGGAGAGACTGCTTTGGCTCCCCCCACCCCTTCAGGTGCACCTTGTGGGGATGTTAAACTGCATTATTTTGTTCATTTTCAACACCCGATGCACACCTGGGGCATGAATTCAAGTATAATCTGGAATTTACTTAGCACTTTTCTATACAAACTTCTGGGTATCTATACACACACACTGGACTTGTTTTAACCTTTCAAAACAGACAGCTCAATAGGTTAACATGCATCTAATTATTCTCCCTTTTCACGTAAAGACACGTTACAAAGAGCCAGACTGAAGATGCAAGATCTGCTTTTCTCCACATCCAAAGCTGGGTTCATCTCTCTTTGTACTTGACACCCCCAAGAATGCTGAGGTAGAGGGAGTCAGAGCAGGGAAAGGTTACCTAACAGGGCAGGGGAATGAATGAGAGAGCCCAGAAATGGAGCTGCCTGCCTACGAGGACCGGTCCGCCTTGACAGGTCTGAACAGGGCCAAGAAACAAAAAGGAAAACCCAAGTTACGTACTCCACACCCCTCCCTCCTCAGGCCAGGTCTTCTCAAGGCCATCATAGTGTTGTAATATGAAAAGCAAAAATCCTGCCATTCAATTACTAGACACGTACGTACCAGGAGATCCTTTCTTTAAAACAAACCAACAAACCAACAAACCAGGAATGAATTTATGTTCAAGCATAAACAAGTATCACGGCACTTCTGAAGTGCAAAGATATACAATGATCTTCATTCACCATCTCCATCTCTACGGAGACATACCAGGCAACGAACGTAAGGCAGAGGGCAACTCATAGAGGACTGACTGGCAAAGAATCCCCACCTGACCGGGCTTGTTACAAACAGGTCTGCTTTTCAAATGTGAAAATGGAATGCAAAAAAGGGACAGAGAAAAAAATGACCAGGGAATTAGTTCAGCTGCCACATGAGCCTCTTGCCCAGAAGTCTCAGCCATTTAAGCACAAAAGGCATCTCTGAACACAATTTTTCTTGATTTAAACACCTCTCACATTCACAATACTGCCTCCCATCCCAAGTGTGCCCCTGGGCATTGGCTTGCAACGATGCCCGCTGCCAGGGCAGCATCACATCCATCCCATCGTCTCGTCATTCCAGTGTCTGAAGCCTCGTTTTTACCACAAAGGGGATGAGGGCACATACAGTAACATCTATGCAGTAACAAACTCTCAGTAAGAAACAAAAGAGCCCAACATTTGGCTCAATTTAACACAAGGTCTCAGCTACGTTAAGGAAGCCTCATGGGTGGGCCTACTCCCAGTTCCTTCCTGGGGTTTCCATCCCCACCTTCCCAAGTGAGGGGCCTCAAAGCCTCAGACAAGACGAGGGAGGAAGAAGAGTGCCAGTAACACCAGGGTCTTCGCTCAGGACTGTGTCAGAAATGGTCCTGGCTGGTCTCCTCTAGGACCCTGGGGAAGCTGCATGGTCTCACCTGGACTGAATTTGAAAACAGATCCTGCATCTTTAGGTTCTGAGCCTACCTATTAAATCTGGGCTCATTTCATTCTAGCTACATTTAAAAGGTGCACCCAGTCTACAAGTTTGTTTTTGTTTTTAATATTCTGTACTGCATGCCTGGTCTATGTGCATGCGTGCATATAATAAATATTAAATACAAGAAAGAAATCCACAAATTAGAAAGGAACAAAACTGGACATTAAGAAATATGACATGGTAGCTGAAGAAACAAGTCAGGGGAGAAAAACCAAGTTGAGGTAAGCTGAATGGTGGGACACCACCGGTCTGAGACATCTGGGAACATGAGGAAGTGGTCAGAGGTCCGGGGAACATGGCGCCTCCGTCAGCTGGGCCTGGCCGGCCGCGGCGCTACCCCGAGTCAGTCCAAGAGCCGGCGCTCGCACAGCTCCTTGTAAATCCTTCTCCGAACGCGCGGCATGTCTTCTTGGGAGAACTGGAAGGGCCGCTCAAAGGCCAGGCACTTGCAGTACTGAAAAAGTCAGTCCCACAAACGCGGAGTGAATTACCCGCCCGCCCTGAGGAAGCCCCAGTAGTACCTCTACTGTGCGCGGGGTTTGGACAAAGCTCTGTCTACAGCTTCCCCCGAAACAAGGCTGATTTCATACCAACTGCACAGCTGCCTGTCCGCATCCTGGCGCCAGGGGCCAGAGATGCTTCCTCGTGGCCCCTGAGCACAAGGCCCAGCGGGGGGACATTCACCCCTTCAGAGCTGCCCAAGGGCTGAGGAGCCCGGCTGACTTGTAACCAGTGATGTCTGGCAAGAAAAGAGCAAGCACGTTTTCTTATCCTTGTTTACGGCTAAAGGGGAAAACTGGAAGTGGAACAATTCTAGCCTGTTCTTCGGAAACTGAGTAACCAAAAATCCCAAACAAAGCACCAAACACCCACATCTGGAAAGGCATCTCCCACCAGGCAGCCCCCGAGGGCGTTGGCTCAGTTCTCGGAGAGACCTGCTTACCTGGAGCACAAAGACTCCACAGTCACTGTCGTTTTTCTGTTGTGGAATGCACTGACAAGGGAGAAGAAAGAGGAGTGTGATTTAAGCAGAACCGGCCTCTAGGGCCCACGAGATTCCCAGGAGGAGGACAGCCGGCTGCTCTTTTGGGGACCCCCTCCCTGGAACGCCCTAGCTCTTTCTCAGTTCAAGTAGGGGCCACTGAGCGCACTGCCCACTGACTCTCAGCGACGGACACCTGACTGAGTAAGAACTGAAGCCCTCTGAAAATGAACCTCTGTGTCAATTCACAGCTGCCGTCTGCATCCTGAGCTGCAACATGAAAGTCATTCTCAAGCAAGACCCCTGTTCTGAGGCCACTGACCTTCCACAGACTGTGCTTAGCAAATAAAAAAGAAAGACAAGGACCCGAGTGATGAGCCCACCTGTCATGCAACCTACGGGTAGTGCTGGGATCCCCACTGGGAAGGCCCCTCTCTCCTGTGCCAAGCCGCAGCCCCCCGACCCTTCTAACTCCCCCAGGAGCTGCTTCAATCCAGCACTCGGGGGCTCACCTTCCCCTCTCAGCCACAGGGAGCTGGGACAAGGCGGGTGCCTCTTACATCTCCCAACGCCTGTAGACTTGAGTCAAAACTGACAGAAATAGCCCTACCCCCCACCCACACACAATTTTTTTTTAAACTAGCAGCTTCTTTTTTGCTAACTATAAATAACTATATATATCTATATACATATGTGTGTGTATGTGTAACTATGAACTGTAAGTAATTAACAATAAAAACCGAAAATAAAGAAATCCTACTTTGCCTTCCTAGGAAGGCCAAGCTATATTTCCCACGTAGGTTCATCTGTGCCAAGGTCTGGATTTAGCTGGCTAATGGCTGGGGAGCCTTGGGGGTGTGATATGGTCTAATCCCTTCTTTCCCCATATTCCCAGCCAAGGGCCAAAGGTGCTTCCCTGACTCAGGCAGGAGGGCCTGATCTATCAGACTGGGGTCTGATTCCTCTAGAAGAGAGGGGCACACACAAGAGCCTGACCCACTCGCTGGAGAGCGGCTTGGGCCTCGAGGTATTATTTCCCTCTCTCCTCAATGCACCGCACCCCAAACTCCTTCAGGTCACTCCCATGATTCTAATATTAACAAGGGGGTTCAGCGTGGGGGGAATTTCGCTGCTCATTTGGCTTTTGCTCCACACTCCAAGTCTCTCCCCTTCCACTTTAACAACAGCCAGCTTTGGGAGTGAGACTCTGACCTGGCTAATTTAGTAGAGAAGCAACCTAAAGGGCCCAAGGCGGCAGCGCCCCTGCGGGCCTTCTCGTTCTTCCATCCTTCACACATCACCTCACCAAGAGGGGCTCCCAAGCCAGAGTCTTGGGGACAATGAGGATCCTTAGTACAAGGGAGCCATGAGGTAGGAGAGAGGGCAGACAAGAGCCTGCCATGAGAAGGAGTCCAAGGGCCCAGCGGGCAAGGGAAGGGTGGCAGAGAGCCCCGAGGGTGCTTGCACCCTGTCTTCTCTGTCTTTCACGGCCTACTGCACTCTCCCTGTGGCTGATTGTACCCCCACTCACCTTTGTAACAGCTGTCTGCCAACCCTGAAGAAACTCGGGTCGATTTTTTTCTCTTGCTTCAGTCAGCAAATACTTTCTTATATTCTGATGAAAAAGAAACCGAGACACCCCCGTTTGCAGGTGGGTCTGAGAAGAACGGGACTCTCCCCTGGCCACAACACTCAATCCTACTCAATAAGGAGGCATTTGCTGGGGCTTCGGAGCAAGGCACTTGTGTGGGTCCCACCCACAGGAATGACTCCTGCCTGGCCTCGGGGAGCTGACATCCTAGGGAGTTGTTTCTTTTCTAGATTACCTCCCAACATCTGAAGCGAGTGAGCCATGGAACTAAGGAAGCTTCCAGGTGATTGAGAAAAATGGCCAAAGGGGATTGGAATGGGGCATTAAAATAGCTCAGTTATTGTCACGGCTTAATCATCTCTTCTAATGGAATGAAGGGAATGACAGAAGAATACAGCAAATACAAAAGGCAAAAATATGCTCTCAAAAAATCCTCCTGAACCTGGCTTCTGGGAATCCCTGACCTCCCTGCTGAAGACACAACAGGAGAGCTTCCTAAAGGACTCTCCTCACCCCAGGGGTCAAGAACCGACACTGCCTGGTGGGAGGGATCGCTGGCAGAATCACAGAATGTGGGGACAGACAGGGGTCAGGCAGCCCCGCCTTCCTTAAGCCGTGGCGGGGGGGACCCCAGGCCTGTCTGACGCAGCCACCTTCAGATACAAGTATCCCAGAGGAGCCCCGACACCCAAGTGCAGAGGGACATCAGCTCTCCCGTCTGCCTCGTTCTGTCCTGGGATGGCCCTGACTGTGTCACAGCCTATGAGGCTCACGAGATGGGCGAAGCCTGGGCCACCATCCCCTCGGTCAAAGATGTCTTTAATAAATGAGGCCATCTCCCACTGCCCTCCCAGTTTGGCTTCTCAGGGCAGAGGCTGAACACGGGCTGTTACACTCATCGAACACTCTAGGTTTGGAACTTTCCATGCTAACTGCCTCCAAAGGATTCCTCAACAGAGTGGCTGGAGAAATGAGGGAAATGGAGAAAGCCACAAAGCTGTGGCCAGGCCGCCGGCAGCTGACGATGCTGCCATTCCTGAGATCCCAAGGGCTCATCTTTGCTAAAATGGTCTAAAAATCTTGTCAATGGAACCACCTCTGGCTGAAAGTGTCCAGGGGGTACAGGGCAGAGGAGCTTATGGATAAATGAGATACCAATGCTCTCAGCTGACCACAAAACAGACAGACTTCAGGAAGTATGCCTTCACTTACCTCTACACAAAACTTAAAATGGATGCCTTGGGAGTCATAAAAGGAAATAATTCGATTTGAGAGGGTCACAGTAATGAGAGACCAGTGGACCTCCAGGTGAATGGGAATCAAGAGAAGGCTCTTTTTGAACAAATCCACCTGACCAGGAAAGAACAAAAAATTTACTGCCCCAGGACAGAGGCAGAGTAACTGTACTTGTCACTGCCAACTCTCCTGAAGACACCCCCCAACATGTGCGTATCCACACAGACGCCCCTGCCCCCCACACGGGCGTATCCAAAGCACCCGTCTGCACAGAGGCTGGGTCATTCCAGGGGCTGACCTCTGACTTACGAGCCCACAAGCCACCAACACCCTCCTCAGGCAGGGCAGGAAAGGGCCAGTAAAGCCCAGGTTGTGCCGGACTCAGTGACGGATGCAGCCTCAGGGGATGACCAGCTAAGCTGGATCCACAGAACCTCATCCCCCAAAGGGCTGGCAGCTGGAAGGGGAGTCTGGAGACATCACTCAGGAAGACCACTGTCTCCCCCATGTAATAACAGAGCGTGATCTGCCTGGGCCCACGGGGATGAACCCCAGGTCTTAAGAAGTCCTGAAAGGACTTGTTCACATGCCCACTGGCCACTGGGAAGATGACTGAGGCCGCTGCTCCTTACGTGGCTAAAGGATGTTTTGCTCGGGGAGGAGGGCACTCTAACCCTTCTGTGTCTCCATTAGCCTCTTTTTTGGCAAGACTGTTGTTAATAGAACAGACTATCTAAGGGACTACATGGAAAGGATATTGTCAGGTCTTGCATAACACGACCTCCAGCCGAGATTCACTTACTGGGTCACCTAAGAGCCCTCTCCTGGTCGTCCCCCCTGCCCACCATGCGGCCACTCCTCAGTCTCCTTGGCGGGGTCATTTCATCCAGGCAGTGCCTAGTAACAGTGTGTACCCCACCCCCTGGATGCTATCCTGGGTCCTCTTCTCTTCTCCCTCTATCCCATTTTGTTTGGTGATCGCATCAACCCCCAAGGATTCAATTATCACCTCTACACAGTTCTCAGGCCTACTGATCCAGCCCAGATCAAGTGACCCTGGTTTCTTTGCTGCTCCTGGAACAAGACCCTCCCCCTCTTAGCCCGGAGCATTTTCCCCAGCTGGCCCCAGGTCTGGGGCGCTCACATCCCACCTTCTACAAGGAGCCTTTCCCAATCCCCCTCACTGCTGGTGTCTTCCCTGTGGGGTCTCACCAGTGCCTCCTGCACAGGTCTTGTCCGTATGGTTATCTGCCTGTTGTCTCTCTCCCTGGAAGCTGAAAGTGTCTTTTGCTTTCCTCTGTATGCCCAGCCCTTAGCCCAGAGCCTGGCACGCAGCAGGTGCTTAATCAATGCTGAATCACGTGGTTTGACCATAAGGTCCAATTCCGCTGTAGACCCTCTCTATCTCTTCCACCTGCTCCAACCCACCCTGCAAATGACGTGCAAGTCCCGATGCCCGAGTTCACAGAAGGTCTTCAGGCTGGAATCTGTACTACTCTAACAAGTCTGTCGATAAAACCTCCAGGACAGGGCAGTGCCTGATTTCTCCAGGGGACTGGCAGCGCACCGGCCCGCTGACCTGCAGGCGTAACTGGGCCCGGCATGTCTGCACCGACTCTGTCCTCTGAGAAGAAGAGGTGAGCAGCCCTGAGACGCGTGGGACATCCTACCTTTTTGGTCCACCTTTTCACTCCATTGTATCCTTTGGTTACCAGCTGTCTATGGAAAAAGCTGTTGAAGAAGTGAACCTAGAAAAGACGAGGCGAGCAGCCGCATTAAAGGGGGAGCACCTGCCGCTCTTGGGAGGCTGCCCAGGGCAGGAAGGAAGAGCTGGCGTGTCCAGGGGCCTACAGCGCTCCAGGAGGACTTCCGTCCAGGCCTCACACACCAGGCAATGGTGCGCCCTCCTCCCCCTCCAGATGTGACTTGTGTTTCAGCTGTGTCTGACTCTATGACCCCATCGGGGGTCTTCCTGGCAGATACCGGAGGGGGTTGCCATTTCCTTCTCCAGCCCACTTTACAGATGAGGAAATGGAGGCAGATAGGGTAAAGTGACCTGTGCAGGGCCACATGGCCAGTGAGTGCCTGAGGCCAGATCTAGACTCCCTGGCACCACCTTGCTGCCCTGGGCTTCCTGTCTTGGTCATTTCTCAGCTCTCTACCAAAGACTCCCACGCCCATACCGACAACCCCAGCCTCTCCCCAGCTCCAGGTTCCTTTTCCAAACGGCTGCTGGACATCACCCCCGGATTCCCTAGCTTCTCTCTCAAAGCCGCTTCTGCCTGCCCCGCCAGGTGCCAGCAACGTGAGCCTCCACGTGGCTTTAGGCCCTCCCTCTACTGTGTCTCTGCAAGCCTGGGGGATGCTGCCTCGACTCGGCTGCTTGCTGCTGGACTGTTATCGGAGCCAGGCAGGAAGGGGCTTCCTTGGCTCCCGCTCTTCCCCGCCCCGATCCATCCTTTGTTCACACTTATACCTAGAAGACCATGTCTGGAAAAGCACGATCAAAGGTCAGCTGTTCCAGTCATCGAGGTCACACCTTCTCCGAGTGACGTTCTACTGCTAAACCTTGGAAGCACAAGCTGACGACGTCCAGACCTTTCCCAGCGGGCTCCCCCGCCCCTTGTATACTGTAGCCCCGTGGGGCTGACCCCTGCTCCGCCAGGCCTGCGCTCCCTGGTGCTTGGCCTCCCTACTCCTTCCTTCCTCCAGGCTCCGGTGGGGTGGTCTACCCAATACCCAGACTTGCTGAACCTGCCGTGTGTATGCCTTCTGACCTGCAGGGATCCCTCTGTCTCATCATCTCCACAATGCTAACTTTGGACAGCCCCCCAAAAAGATGCACAGGACAGGGGCCCTCCTCTGCTAAGGGGCTTCACTTACCTTGTCTGGAACAGCGTCCATTATCAGCTCACCATACATATTGATTACCTGAAAAAAAAAAACCAAACAAACTTTAAACTCCCGTTGAGCTGAGGGCCTTATACCTGACTGCCCTTTCTGAGGAAGAACTTAGGCCAGAAGGGGGCACTGACAGCTCTGAGAGGGAGGGCTTGTGACAGAGCCCCTTCCTCACAACCACCACGTGAGTCCTAGCCCCATTTTACAGAGGAGAACACAGAGGCTCTAAGAGATGAAGCCATCGTCCCAGGGTCCCGGAGGCCCAGGCACTTACCTGCCTGAGAAGCCGCCTGGGACGGCCCATCAAAGGGGCTTCTCATCTATAGAGCAGACTGGAATAATGGGTGGTCCACCGGGCCTGCACACAGCACGTGCCTAATGAATGGGTATGGACTGACCTGGCTGGGCCGTGGCAAAGATGGGCAGGTGACCTGCTCAGACGTCCCCTCCCCCGACCCCTTGCTGAGGACCAAGGTTCGGATGCCACCCCAAAGTCCTCCCTCGTTCTCAGGGCACCCGACGGCTGGCTCCACCCTGGAAACGTCGTCTTCTCTAACCTGGTCATTCAGCCAGTTCTGACCGTCCAGTGTTGCCAGGTCGTCCATGTCCAGCATGTGCCTGTTGTAGAACACCCGGAAGTTGCAACTGGAAGATTTGGGATGCCTGGCCCGGTAGTTTGTGATTTCCCGATTGATAAATGGCTTTCTGAAACAGAGGTGGATTTGGGAGGAAAGAGTGAGTGAGTAGAGCTACTGATCCTTTTTCCTGCTCCAAGCAAAAGAGTATTCTAGTACCCTGGGTCAGGCAGACAGACAAGCACCCTTAATTTCCAGGGATCCTAACTGATCCCTCTCTACAAACCTATTGGAAAAGTCTTCATTAAAGACCTCTTTCAGCCTTCCAAGAACATCTTTTTCACAGAGGGGGACCAAGCTGCCATACTTCTTCATCACCTCATCCAGGAATCCTAGAGACACATAAGAAAGACTTGTAAAGCCAAAAGAAAGCGACACACTCATTGAAGCTGACCAAAGAGTGTGAATGTGACGCGTCACCCTGCACCAATGTTCTTGAACCTCTGAAAAGCAGTGAAAGCTAGAAAAGACGAGACAGCGGCAGAACCCCATTCGTGGGGACTCCCCTCAAGGCTACGCCACCAGCTTTGGCTTTTTTAGCTAGAGACCCATCTGCAGATGGGAGAGGAAGGTTCATTCCCCAGGGTCAGCACCCCAACCCTACCACAGCTTTCACACTAGAGAGGATTCCTGCACCAAAGTCTAAAATGATTTCAAGTAGTCGCCGAGATGCGTCATCTGAACGACCGTCAAAGAAAAACCTCAACCAAAGTCAATCACAAAGGAACTGCATGCCATGCTGTGCCTGTGAAGGGCAGAAGACAGAGCTGCCAGCCCCTGGAGGACTGCACCCTGGGAGGCAGATGTGGTGCCCCGCCTCCTCAGAGAGGCAGAGGCCGGGCCGGGCAATGGGCTCCGTATCTGCCCAAGGTCACCCACCCCAGCCAGGCCTCCCACGGGCTCTGAGCTGCTCTGGGCCTCAGCTTCCTTCTCCTGGACACCAGAGGCCTCTGCAGTCCGTCCCAGCTCAGGCGCGTGATCCTATGACCCTAAACCCTCTGCTCTTTTCTTTTTTGATGTTGTGCTTCATGTTATGTTTATGTTATATTAGTTCAGACTGAGCTAATGTTAAAAAAAACAAGCCAAAAGTCCAGTCCACTGAATCTCATTTTCTAATCATAAGCATGGCGTGCCCATTCAGGAAAGGACAGTCTCTTTCTCTGCCAAATTATGAACTTATTGAGGTTCTGTGACCAGGGCATAAAAATCTGAAGAGCAGCTGCCCAAAGGAAGAGGTTCAGGGCTTACCCTTCGCTAAAGGCCTCCCAAACTAGGAGAACCTTTGCCCTCTGCCTGCTCTACCGTGGAAGGATACAGGCAGCCCCCAAGGTCTTTAGCCGACAACTAAGTGGGACAGCATGGTGAAGGGGCCCAGCAACACTGACCAAATCCAAAGAGAGAGAGACCTCTTAAAGAAACTCCGCCCCTTGCTCTTTTTCTTGACCTCAGTGAGGGGGGCAGGCCACCTTACTGATCAGCAAAGACCCTCTGCCTCATAAGGCATCAGCAGCAGCTGCTCATGGCTGCCTCTGAGGCACAGCTGTGAAGGAAGAAGGGGCTCTCTTCCTCTCTGGCAGCCATGGACACAAGCCGGGCCAACACACGTATCCTTTTCGTGGTATCTGGGTCACCTAGCGGGCCCCACAAGGCTGGAATGAGCGTTCCCCACCCTCAGGTCGGCTGCTCTTTTCGAGCCCTGTCTGCACCTGTAAAACGGGGTAATTCCTACAGTATCTACCACACTGTGCTGCTGTAAGCACTCCCTAAATGCTCACTACTAACCCCAAACCTACCAGCTCTGGCTATGCCACTGATCCCAGCTCTGCCTTCTAATGCTCCTAAATCAGGTGACTGAAGGGACAGGGTCTGCTAGGCACAGAGGAATAACCCAGGATGTTCAAGTCCTAACATCCTAAAATGACCTTACAAAGCTACAGAGGCCTTCCCCTGGTCCTCACTATGCAGATGAGCCACCTACCTCCCCCTGACAGGGAACTACCCAGCCTGCCCCACTCAGTCACATTCCCGGCCACCCAGAACATCTGGGGGTCAGTGTGTTGGGCCCAGAGGAGACTCCTCTGGCATCTCTCTTCCAAGAAGCTATTGGAAGGGAGAGGAAATGGGGGCACCATGGGACCCACTCGACCCTGCAGGCCCTACGTCCTTGGTGGGGGGGTGGATGGGCGGATGGGCAGTGCACATACCACAGAGGCAGGAGGACAGCTCTTCATCCTTCACAGGCGATACTTTCTGACCACTCTTTCCACTTCCCACTTGCCGGCCCCCTTTGAGTCCGGTTTGTTGTGAGGGGGCCTCCAGGGGGTTTTTACAGTACGGGTGGTCCAGTAACTTGGCACTAAAGACGTTCCGGGGGCGGGGAGCCTCAGGCTCCATCTGGCACGGACTCCCCACGTCTGCACAGTCTTTGTGGATGCAGGCTCCTCCCCGGGGACCTCATTACCACTTGCTGCCTTCTCAGGCTGCACAGGCAGAGGCAGCTTCATCTTGTCACCCCCAACGGCCCTTGCCTGATCATCCTGCCCCACGGTTATGGTTTCTGGTTCAGTTTCTGATATGAAAAGGTCCCTGGTGTGTGGCTCCGGCGAGAGGCTCTCACTGGACAGTCCGGTGAAGCGGGATGGGTCCCAACCACGGGCAATGCTGCCATTCTGCTGACTGGGGAGGGTCTCCCCCCCACAAGGCTCTGGGCCCGACCCGGGGTTTCCTCTGGCGGGGCCGTTGGGTATACTTGAGTTCTTTCCCTTTGCGGCAGGCCCTGGGGCACTGCAGTCCATATCTGGGAAGGGAGGCTGAGGGAGGTGAGAGGGGCTATTGGGTCCTGAGTGAGGGAATGAGCTACAAGCACCCCCCTCGCAGCCTTCCTGGCGCTTGTCCCGACGGTCCCTGGCGACCTTCTGCACCCAGCCCTGCTGCCGGCCTTTCCGAAGCTTACATGCTCTGCTCCTTGATTTAAACCGTGGGGATCTCAGGATCCGGTACCGAAACCTAATCATGGACAGTTTCTTATACACCCGAAGCAGTGATATCCTTTTCCCCCGACGGTGGCTGAACTGGGGCCTTCCCAGAATTAGGGATGGCTGCTCTGGCTCCATTCTGTTTGGGTCCAGCCCTTGGTAGCAGCTACAGTAACAACCATTTCCCTTATGGTTCCTCAAGGTGATGAAGGTGGGGCTGCTCTCCACCTGGCCCTCCCCACTGGCTATCCTAAGCCCACCAGGATCCTGGTGGTCGGTCCTCTGTCTACAACCATTGGCCTGACCCAACACACTGCCTACTGGCAAGCCAGCTGCTGCCTTCTGGAGCTCCTTCTCTGGCTGGCATTCCTGGGCAGAGTTCTCAACGGATCCCGGCAGGCTTCCAATGAGGTGCCCCCGGATGTGGGGGCTCACGGTGCCCTTTCTTTTCGCGGTGCCAGGGACAGCGTGGCCATGCGGAGCAGCCAGAGCGGCACAGGCCCTGGCAGCCAGGACTGTTTTCTGGGCCCTCTTCCTCTGGAGCCGCAGTGCCTTCCTCCGACGCTGAAGGGACCGGTACAGCCTGTGCCAGGTGCTCCGGGTCTCTTGCTTGGCGTGTAAAAGGCAGAACTTCTTAAGGCCCACAAACCCGGCCGTCCACTTCTCTGAGAAGGCTGGCAAGGGGCCTCTTTTGCTGAGTAGAGCTCTTCGCTGGCCTTTCATTGTTCTGTGGCATTATGGGACCTGGACACAAAGCTGGGAAGAGAAAGAAAGTTACATTTTAGAATGGTCATGAGGTCAAGGTCTTGAGGAAAAAGTGGCATGAGAACAAATGAATGCTGCCAGTCCTTCCTTAGGCCTCTCTTCAAAGACGGTCAAACAGCCCCAGTTTCTTGAGTCTTGCCCAAGGAGAAGAAAGGCACCAGTAGTAGCATACCTGAGCCCTGGCACACCCAGTACCAGGGCATCAGACAAGAAATACGTAAATTCATGCCTGCGTAGGTTATTATAGAAACACATAAAACCGCTGTTTGAAATGATCAGACTCAGGCTTACTGACTGTGTCAAGCTGGAAGGAGATCTGCAGTAAAGGCTCAGGGTTTGGCTTCAGGACTGTCCATCACCATGGCTGTGATTCAGGGGAGGGAGGCTTAACCTGGGGTCTGCGCAGGTGTGTTCTATGTATGTATATGTATATACACACACTTTGACAGCTGAATTCAGTGTGACTGGTTTCCTTTGTAATCCTCTGTTTTCTCGTGTATGAATTTTAGAAATATTATTCTGGGAAGGGGTCCCAAGGCTTAATCAGTCTGTCAAAGGGTGAGAACCATAGTTTAGACTGAATCAATTCAACTCCATAAACACTCATTAAGCACTTACTCCGTGCCAGGCACCTGTACTAAGGTCTAGGGATACAAAAAGAGGCCAAAGATCGTCCCTGCCTTCCAGGAGCTCATAATCTACTAGATGAGACAAGATGCAAACAATAAAGCAAGCTCTATACAGGAAAAGCAGGATATAACCCACAGGGGACAGGCCTGGAATTCAGAGGGATTGGGGAAGGCTTCCTGGAGAAGGTGGGATTTTAGCTGGGACTTAAAGGAAGGCAGGGAGATCAGCAGTCAAAGCAGAGGAGGAAAAGCATTCTGGGCATGGGGGAGAGCCAGAAAAAATGCTGACAGCTGGAGGGTCTTGTTCTGAACAGCCAGGAGGTCAGGGTCATTGGATCAATAAGATGCAGAATGGAAAGGTGCGAGAAGGCAGGTCAGGAAGGGCTCTGAATGCCAAACACAGCGTTTTCTATTTGCTCCTGGATAGGGACAGGGAGCCACTCAGTGAGTGGGGGTGGGGTGGGGGGGCGATATGATCAGACCTGCATTTTGGGAAAATCACTTTGGTGGGCGAATGGAGGCTGGATTGGAGTGGGGAGAGATTGGAGGCAGGCAGACCCACCAGCAGCTATTGCAATGCCAGCAGGCAGGGGATGAGTGAATGGTTACTGCCATTGCATTCAAAAGAGGGTGACCTGTCTGGTGAGGAGGCTGAACACTTGACCCATCAGGGAACAGATGAAGGAAGTGGGGATGTTTGGCCTGGTGGTATGAGAACTGGGCTCCAGGCTGAAGGCCTGCCTGTCCTTGGAAGAGGGATCAGACCTGTCCTGCTTCACACCAGGAGGCAGGAGGATGGGTGAATGCTGTCAAGAGGCAGCTTTGGGCCAGATCAGGAAAACCATTCCCTAACAATTACAACTGGCCCAAAGTGGGATGGGGAAATCCTCTACTCCCTCAAGCCAAGGTGAGCCCAGGGGCCAGGTATGCTGGCTGGATTAGATCAGTCTGAGAGTCCTTCCAGGCAGTGGCAGTGTGTTCAAATCCCAGCTTGGCCCACATGTCACCAAACCAAGTCATTTAATCTCCAGAGTCCTCATTTGTAAAATGAAGGGCCCAGACCCTCATTTCAAGGTCTCTTTAGTTTTAACAATTATTCACCTCAAGATGAATGCTTCAGCCTGAAAATTCTGACTTAGACTATGTGGAAAGCTTGCCAGAGATACGTGGGTCCTCCACCAACAAGATTTGCTTTATCTAGGTCAGCAGTTATGAACCTTGTTTGTATCATGGACTCCGTGGCCAGTCTAGACCACAGGTTTGGAACACGAGTCTGAACCAGATTAAAATGTAATTGGGAAACATTTAACAAAATAAACAAAAAAGCAACCTAATTAGAGAATGTGAATATGTAGTTTTCTAAGTCAAATCCCCCTCTCCCTGCCCCAGCATCCTTGTATATGGTTCAAAGGCCCTTGTTTCTATCTGACTTTGACAGCCCTGATCTAGACCCCTTAAATGTATAAAATAAAACACATGAGATTACAAAGGAAACCCATCACACTGAAATAGAGTTGTCAAAATGTTTTTAAACACCAGTTAAGAAAGCCAGGATTACCATCAAGAATGTAGTGAAAGCCCCAAAGAGGTGGGTACTGGGACAGGCAGGAGTGTTGCTCCAGCAGACACAGCAGCCACACGTGGAGAGGAAGGGTGAGCCTCTGCAGAGGCAGACAACAGGAACAAAGCTCATCCCCCAGCGTACATTCAGAGCTCACTTTGCACCTCCTACTTTTGTTTCCCCTGGTGAGGAAATCAAGACCCTCGGGTCACACATAGGGAGAGAGACTGGATAGAAACCCAAGTCCCCTGAACCTAAAGCCATTAGAACATGAGCAGTGCTTGGCACAGTGCCTGGCACATAGCAGGTGCTCAACAAACGTTTACTTACTGATTCTCTCTTGCAGGCTGCACAGTGGGTCCTGAGTGCCTCTGCCCATCACAGAGGTCATGCTGCACAGAAAACCTTAGGGAGGACCAGCAGACAAATCCTCAGGCTGACATCATTTCTCAGCAGCTTCCCACGTTTCACCAAAAACTGGAGGGCAAAGGTATGGAGAAGGTGGGGGCTGCAGATTCAAATGGGTACCAAAAACCTTTGCTCATCAGAAAGCTGGGCAGGTGAGGGATTCATGGCCCAAGATCTCCACAATGGATTTCATGGGGCTGAATGAGATACTTGGAATCCATCCTTTCCAAGACTGTGTAAGAAGATTAACATAACTGCTAATCCATCTGATGGGCTAAGAGGATTCTATCTTGAAAAGACCAATTAACATCCCACACCATGATACTATAATGAACCCCACATCAGGACAACTTCACAACTGACTTTAGCAGAGGAGAGGTAACATTTCCAAACTAGAGAAAAGCTTTCTTCACGACTTCTGAAAGAACGCCCCTGGTTTTCAGGGGCTGTTGTTATCAGCAGCACCGAAAGCAAGCCAGCCAGCATCAGAAACAGACACTTCCACCACCAGCATCAAGACCTGAGTTCTAAGCCCCGTACACTGGCTGTGTGACCTTGGACAAGTCACAGACTCCTTGGGCCTCAGTGCCCAGAACAAGGGGGTTCTGACTAGATGTTCTCCAAGTCTCTTTCAGACCCAAAATTCAGTGAAACACTCAATCTGCTCAGAAACACCTGAGCCAAACATTTCAATATTCAAAAACCATTAAGATAAACAGACATCCCTAATGAAGGCTTCTTAAGGCTCTCTGAAACGCTAAGTTACAGAGGAGTTACTGCCTGGACCAGTGGAGGGCCTCTCCATAGCCAGAGTGCCCCCACATCAGGCGCTGTGGCGCTGCCTGAGGGCAGCAAACTGGGGTGTGAGCCGGGACCGCGGAAAACACTTGACTTTCTTTCTCCAGCAGAGAAATCTGGAAAGGCCGCCGGCTGCTCCCAGCAGGACACACTCTGCGGGGACCATCAGAGACCACTCCTAATTGAATGCCCTGCTTTGAGAGGGGCCCCCCCAGTGGGCGCTTCCCACGCCCCTCAGGCTGTCTCTGTTCTGCAGCAGACAGGAGCTCAGCTCCCTAATGGCCAGGGGTGAAAATTCAACGTCACAGCCTCAGGTTATGAATCTGGGCTTTCCACCCCTCCCAACGCCTCCTTCTCAAAGCCAGAACTGGGCAGCAACTTAACTGAGTTCAGTTTAGAGACACTCAGAGAGCTGGGGACTCCGAGAGAACGCCAATGAGGTGAGCGCCATTTCTGGTTCAACCACTAAATACATAGTAAGAGTTCCTTGGGGTCTTTGTACTTAGCTACCTCCCTCCTCAAAGAGACTACCATGCCAGGGTGTGGAAAACAAACCAGTAAAATTCCATTAAAAACCAAAAAAAAAAAAAAAAGCCTGTGACAAAAATAAGTCCTGGCTAAAGCCTCCTCTAATTTAAAGCAACATTTGAGACTGAAATAAGTAAACAGAAATCACTAGTTCCCTGCAACATAAAATGGCAGATCAGGTAAATGTGAAACATGGCGACAAGCATTAATTAGGCACTTACTGTGTGGAGACATTTGAATTCTAAAAAAAAAAAAAGAACATAAACCTCTTTTCCAAAAATGAGTGGTGCTGAACATTGCAAAAAAACAAAAACCCAAACCAAACCCAACGTGCTCCAATCTGTGGACATGTTTAAGAGAAGTGGCCTTAGAAGGTCAGGGCCATCAGGTGAAGTCCGAACAAGAAGCCTGGGCAGCCGCCAGCGCTGCTCCATCACAACCTGCCTCCCACCGCAGCAAGCAGATAAAGCAGAGCAAAAAGCGGCGGATTCTTTCACTCTGTATTTTTGATAAGGCTTGTGCTAGCACATTAGTAACAAAAAAATATAAACCCCATCTGAATTTTCCTTTTCTTTGTGGAGGCTGGGCCTCCCTATCTTGCCACAGGCCCAATTGCAAAGCTGCTCCATTTTCCCAATCTGGGCTGTTCTCCTCTCCTTAGGCAGCCTGGTGGCCCCCTTGCTCCCAGGGGCTGAGAACCCCAGAACTCCAGGGATCCACCAGCTTCATTCTCCCCTAGCAGCAAGGATTTCAGGCATGCTCCATCACACTTGACCGGGCAAATAGGAATTTCTTCATGGACTTTTGAAGACCGGCATAATACCATACCAAAACAAAACAAAAAAACAGGATTTATAGTCATACATTAAGAAATGTGGGGCAGCTAGGTGGCACAGTAGATAGAGCACCAGCCCTGGATTCAGGAGGACCTGAGTTCAAAATCTGGCCTCAGACACATAACACTTACTAACTGTGTGACCCTGGGCAAGTCACTTAACCCCACTGCCTAGCCAAAACAAACAAACAAACAAACAAAAAAACCCCAAAAGAAATGTTGCTAAAAATCCACTTAAGATTTGGCTCCTTTCCCATCATTACAAGTCATTAACTAAATGCAGCTACATTAGAATCCAAATTAGGACTAGACCTCTGATTTCAATGACTCAGGGGAACTCCCATGTGAGGAAACTCCCTCTGTCAAGGTAGGTCAGAACCCCTCTGCAACGGAATCTTAGACACTCTAACTCTAAACAAGCTCTGAGCCCAGAACGCCGAGAGGTCAAGGTACCTGCCCAAGGTCACACAGCCATACACATCTAAGGCTGGAATAGAACCCAAGTCTTCTGGCTTGGAGGAGGGTTCTCTACTGACTACATTATGCAGCTTCCACATGCAGAGAATTCTACAGAAACTATTTCAAATGATAAGGAATATATTACTTCTGAAGAAAAACACCGTAAAACCATAAAAAAAGAAAGTCTTCCTTTAATTCAAACTATCCAAGATGGCCTGGACAGCTCCAGGCTCCGGAGGAGAGAAAAGGGTAGGGATGGGGAGGGGACGCTACCTGAGGCAGTGAAGGCACAGGATGACTGTATGTGAGAGCCAGAAGAGACTGAAGGGAGCCTCCTCAGAAACCCAGCAAACACTGATTACGAAGGGAGAGGAGCAACAAAGGAGGAAAGAAAGTGGGTCCTGATCTCAAGGACCCACAGGTGAAGGCACCAAGGGGCACAGAGATTGCACAAGTCTTCACTGGCATGGGGAGGCGGAGCTGGGGTCTGAGCTCAGCTCTCCTCACTCCTGAGAGAGAAAGTGGGGCAGCGGAGGCAAGGAATTCAACCCCCTCAGGACTCAGTCTGACTAACTGATCTGTAACCTTCTTCCCACCTTGGAAATGGAATATCAAAATCACGGGAAGCAAGAACAATACTCAGAGCCTCTAAAACCTCCCAGAACACCAGCCGTGCCTCAGTGACCGAGAGGGCATTCTGCCCGCAAGGCTCACCGAGGGGGAGTTGTGGAAGACCCAAGGCCCCCCAGTGCTAGAGCCCTGAATGAGTGACCCAAGACCTCCAAAGCAGCAGCAAAAGCCCATCTAGGGAAACTGAAATGGTGTAGACCCTTGCTAGCCACAAGCAGGGTTGGACTTGACAGGTTGGACTACAGCTGCCATCCATCCATCCATCTATTCATCTGTCTACTCATCTATCCACATTGCTATCTATATCTTTCTATCCATCTATCCATCCATCCATTTATCTAACAGTCTATCTATTCATCTGTTTATCCATCCATCTGCCCATTCATCTACCCAACTATCTATCAATCTGTCTATCCATCCATTTATCTAACAGACTATCTATTCATCCATCTATCCATATGTCTGTCTATCCATCCATCCATCTGCCCATTCATCTACCTAACCATCTATACATACGTCTATCCATCCATTCATCTATCTGTGGATCTCTCCATCCATCTAGTTCTGTTTGTCTGTCTGCGATGGTTCCATCTGTAATGTTTCAGAGGCGACGAGGGGGAGCAGCTGAAACTTGAAGCTGCAGAGAGTGAAGTCCGCTTTAGAACCCACCAAATGCCACTCAGCTGCCATGAAAGAACTTGTGAACTAGCAGGATGGTCAGTAGAGCAGGCTGGGTCCTGTTCTGCCCCACCTACGGGGTCAGTCCTAAGTTACATGCACCCCATTGCACTGAGGAAAAGCCCCGAGGCTTGGCCCCTGGCCTCAGTCCTCCTCTGCCCCACTGTGGGACAAGGACCACGGGCTGTCCACATCTGGAGACCTTGGAAGGCACAGGGCTCCAGCTGTGTGACCCCAGGCAAGTAACTTCACTGTGCTTTGCCTTAGGTTCCTCATGTGTAAAACGGGTCAGTAACAGCCCTTCTTACCAAGGCTGCCTGAGGCCCCTGGGGATCACCGCAAAGCGCTCAGTGCAGCGGTCTGGTACATAGTAGGCACCACAGAAACGCTTGGACGCTTGTCCTGTGCTGACCTCAGCTTGTGGTGGAGGGTCCAGGACCTTCCCAGGGGAGTTCTCAGAGCCTTCAAAGGCTCAAAGAACCCCAGAGGCAGCCCTGAAGCCAACGCCAGGGAGTGCAAACCCTGGCCAATATGGGGAGGCTTCTTCTGCCCTCCTGGAAGAACACCCGGGGCTGAGACTGGCGGCGTGGACAGGGACCCCTGCACCCGACCTCACCAGAGGCTAAGCGGTAGCCTAGGGCTGGCCGCTCCCAGCTCAGCCAAGCCCTCGAAGGGCCCCCTCCTCTGGCTGCTCCCCACTGAGCAGAGGAGTAAACTGAGGCCCGGAGGGATCTCCCAGGGGGTGGGGGTAGGGCTCCCCGGCCTAGGGCTGGAAGGGAAGCCGCCCCTTCTTGGTCTCAGCCTGCCTCAGTTTCCCCCAGGGGCTCGCTCTCGGACGCCTGGGGGGAGGAGGGGGGACGGCCTCGCTGCCCCTCGGGGACCGATCTGTGTCAGCGGACGGAGTGTCCCCAGCCGGGAGGTCCCCACACGCGTGCGGGCGCCCGGGCGGAGGCGGGGCAGGCCCTCCGCTTCACGCAGCCGCCCCCCCCCACGAGCCGTCCCCTCACCTACCTTCCGGCCCCGCTCGCGACGCGCCCCGATGCTCGTCCCAGGGCCCGGCTCCGTCACCGGCCGCAGGGTCCCCAAGAGCATCCCGGCGCCGGGGTCACGTGGGCTCGCCCCGCCCCCGCCCCAGGCCCCGGCCCGGAGAGCTCTCCCCAGCCGCCGCCGCCGCCACCGGCGCGCTCTGAGTGCGTCACTGCCGCGAGACCCCGCCTCGCCCGGCGCGGCCGGCTCTGCTCCGGCATAGCCGCGGCCGGCGCGCTCTGAGTGCGTCACAGCCGCGCGACCGCTCGCCAAGCAAGCTGTCTCCCAGGGCCATGCCGCCGGCGCTCACTGAGTGCGTCTTAGTAGCGCGACCCCGCCCCGCCCCGCCAGGCAAGCCGAGTCCGCAGGCCATACCTCCGGCGCGCTCTGAGTACGTTACAACCGTGCGACCCCCCCCCCCACTCGCCAATCCAACCATCTGCGCAGGCTATGCCTCCGCCGCGCTCTGAGTGCGTCACAGCCCAGTGCCCACAGTCCCCCCAACACACACCTCCTTCTCCCCCGCCCTCCCTTCCCTCCTCTCGCCCCTCCCCTCGACCGGGAGGGCCGAAGAGGAAGCCCCGCCCTCCGGCTGGCTTGCAGCTCAGCTTACCCAGCCTCTCAACCCCACCCCCACCCCCGGGTTCCGCGGGAAGCGTGATGACCGTGGAGTCAGGAGGACTCTGGTTCAAATCCCGCTTTTGACATTGACCGCTATATGACCCTGGAAGCTCTCCATAAAATGGGAGGGTTATATCAGAGGGCCACTGGGAACTTCCAGCTCTTGGTCTGAGATTGTAAGGCCCAGAGTGACTCCGCCAGTTTGGGCCTTAGTTTCCTCATCTGTAAAATGACCTTTCCCAGATGGGGCCCGGCCCCCAACACGCTCCAGGGGTTTCCCTCCCCCAGACCCTCCCTTCCCTCCCAGCCTCAGGCCAGGAGTGAGTGCTTCCTTTGGAGTCCGCATCTTCAAGGTTACCGGCTCCGAGGGGCCAGGATCCTGGCCCACTCCCTTCGGTCTATGCCCAGCGCCTCCCAGAGCGCCCCGCCCTTCCCCTCCCCCCATCCGTGGTCTCTTTAGAACGAAGCATCTGGGGAGGGGATAGCCTTGGCCTCTGAATTTGTATCTCCAGGGCCGGCACACAGCAGGGGCTTAATACATGCTGAGAGAAAGGATTTCTCCTTTACTTTCAGAAACCAGCCCCTGATAATGAGACTGGTTCAGATCTCACCCAAATGGGGAAGCCCCCTGTGTCCTACTCGGGCCTGGGGGTGGGGGTGGTGGCACGTCCTGGGTCTGGATTGCTCCAGGCTGCGGGTAGAGAGGCAGAATCAAAGTCTCAGCCCCAGCCCTCATTGGCATAGGTCCAGCTCTCATTATAGTCTCATTATCTGTTAACCAATCAGAGTTGGTTGGGGTCGGTCAGGAACACCCACTCATCCAAGGGCTGCCGTGATTCAACTTTCAGTTAATGAGAGACTGCCAAATGATATATTTTAAAAAATTATTCGCTAGCCATAATTAATAAAATGATTAATTACCTAGAAATTATGTCTCTCAAACTTTTCATGCGTGACAACGTCTTATCATTTGGTCATTCATTCATTCATTCATTCATCCAGTCTCCATTGCTAGATAATCAACCGCACACACCACGCCCAGCTGTGGATGGAGCCAAGTGTCTGCCCACCACGGTCTTACTTGGGGAGCTCTTCAGCTCCCATGGGCTCAATGACCATCTCTGCAGGCGGCTCTTGGCTGTCTATAATGAGCTCCTGCCTTCTTTTGTGGTGTCTCATCCCACATCGCCAGCCGTCCAGGGGACAGTTCGAACTGGACGTCCCGTAGGCATGTCAAAGGCGTCGTATCCAAATCTGGAGTGATGATAGTTCCCCCACACTCACCCTCGACTGAACTTTGCTATTCCTGGTCAGGTTGCCCGCATCCTCCCAGTCATCTAGGCTCAAAACCTGGGATTGTAGAGCAAATGTAGGCTTGATGTTAGGGAAAACCTGGTAACAGTTACAGCTATCCAGTCCGTGCCCTTGGACCCAAGGTCCCGTACTAAGCGAGTTCTCCAACGAGATAAAAGACAGTCAGAAAGTCCCCATATAAACCACAAATATTTGTGGCAGCATTTGTTAACGAATAAAATACTAGAAAATAACCGGCCCTCCGTCTGCTGGGGAATGGCTAAACAAGGTGTGCTGTGTGACTGCAATGGAATATTCCTGAGCAACAATGCCTACGAAGAATCCGGAGAAACATGAGAAGCCTTATAGGAGCAGATGCAGAGCCAAGTGAGCAGAATCAGGAGAACGATATACACAACAGCTGCCATGATGTGAATGGAAAGAACGACCAAATCAGTTGCACACCGTGCGCTAATGAAGCGTGGCCCGGAAGGAACGAGAAAGCGCAATTCTTTTCTTTGTCTGCAGAGGCAGGGGACTCGAGGCGTGAGCGTCACAGATGTAGTGTCCGACTCAGTCGATATGTTGTTGAGTTTTGCTCAACGCATCTTTTCATCTGTTTTGTTCTGATTTTTTTGTTATAAGAAAAGACTTTTTGGGGAGAGGAGGGGAGTGAGATATACCTGTAAATGAAGGCAATTGAAACAATCCAACAACCTAGAGCTGTTCCAAAGTGGCCTGGGCTTCCTCTGTAGGCAGTGGGATTTCCTTCACTGGGGGTCTTCAAGCAGAAGCTGGAAGTCATGGGCCCCAGCAGGAGAAAAGTGGAAGAGCCCCTAGACATCATCGGCTTCTGTTCTTTTGTTCTCACATCAAGGGCACCTGACACCCTGGAAGAGAACGTAGCTTGCTTAAGTTCACACAGCTAGAAGAAGTAAACCAGAGCTTAGGACCCTGGTCCCCTAGCTCTAAATCCAGCGTTCCTTCCCACCAAGGGAGGGCTTGGTCAGGGATCCACCACACCGATAGGGAGCTCACACTGACATCTCCCCAGGGCGTCATCCACCACCCGGAGGAAGGGGAAAGGGCAGGTAGATGAGGGAGCCTGGTGGTCAGGCAGCAAGGCAGACTGGGGCCTTTGTGGCTCACCATCCTACGGCCCCTTTAGTGGGAAGATCTCCAGGCATTTTGCCAACAGTATTATCAGAGAGTGGGCATGAAGGCTTGTGAGATGTTAAGCCCATTGAAGGAAACATGGACCTTGAGTCAGCCTCCATCAAAGGGTCTCCCAAGCTGTAGGGTTGAAGGCGGATGCTTCCTGGGACGGGCATCCTTCACCTTCTCTGGACAATAGGAAAGCTGATCCTCTGGGAGGGATTTGTCCCAGGCCCCGTGGGAAGTCAGGCTAGAAGCAGGAAACAGTGGGCAGGTCCTCACCCTGTTGGTCTAGCAAGCAGACCAGGTGCCCAGAACGAAGGGAAGGCAGAGTTTGCTCCTAGCCAGTGAATGGCCACTGGGAGCCCATGGGACACGGACACTGACGGTTGTGGAGCTGATGTTTGGGGCTCACACCACTGGTGGTTCTGGGATAAAGGTCACAGCTCCTTCTTTCTTCCTTTCAGTAATGGTGATGGTGAAGTGGGTACCCTGGAAACACAAACAAACCCGATTCCCCAGACACCTGCTGATAGCTGGTGTTCACAACTATGTTACATAAACCATGTCATTTGGCACTCATACAGTCCCTACAAGGTAGATCCTATGCAGTATTATCATCATTCCCATTTTACAGATGTGGAAACCAAGGCAACCTTCCTTCCTGAGACATCTCTCCCTCCCAAGGAAATGTGAGGTAACATTTATAAGAATATTGAACAAGGAAAGTCATGTTATGTTAAAATAGCTTGGGGTCAACACTCTAAAACAACAGTCATTTAATCTCCTACTTGAAGTTCCTAGGCCACTCCTGGAAAGACCTGAGAAGCCTTCCTCTCTGGGATCAGCATCTTCATCCTTGAATAGAAAAGCGGGGCTCCTAGGTCAGTCTACTTTGAGACCATAGTTTTCCTACTGAACTACATTTCCCAAATGGAAAAAGTAGAGAAAAGATTTTAGGCTTGAGACGATATTGTTTCTTCATATTTCTGGTCAAGCCATCCAGGACTTGGCTTTCTTCCCACTTCTGCAATAAAATGTGAAGGGGAAGAGTCTTATTTTCTTCCCGATGTGTGTGGATGACAGTGTTGGTAGGGAGCAAAGGGAAGTGAAGGCCAAAACATTTGAAGGTAGAGATGGGCAGGACAGTCACTTCCTTCCTGTGTGACTCTGGGAAAGTCTCTTGATGACATGAATAATGGAGGATGGAAAGAAAACCTGCCCTCCCCAAAAGCCTTCCAACCCTGCTTTCCACCCCCCAGGTCAAGACTAGCTTTGTAGGCAGAGAGGGTTGGCTTTCCTAAGTGTGATTGCACCTCCCAAGAGATATCCTTTGACAAGCATTTATTCATCACCTAAGATGTGCCAGGCACTGAGCTAGGGTTACACACACACACACACACACACACACACACACACACAATGCCTTCTCCTCTGGGAGCTTATATTCTACCTCATCTGAAATTCTGATATTTTATTATATAAATGAGTCAGGAAGTGGAAATTACATAGATTCTTTTTAAACCTAGTTTTGAAAGGGCAAATTTTGGAAGAGAAGGGATCATTGAGGCTTAAAGAGAAAAGAGGGAGTAGCCGCCAGGAAACGAAAGGGCCAAGCTGGGAACACCCAAAGTCAAACTTAATTTTTCCCCAGATGAAGGACTACCCTGAGACAGTGGAACTTAGCCCTGGTTTGCAAGTCAGAAGACCAAAGATCTACTCCCACCACTGCCACCAACCTCCTGTGTGACCTTGAATAAGTTATTTCTCTTGTCTGACTCTAAGTTTTCTCATCTATAAAATGGGTTGGGTGAGCCAGGTGAATTACAAATTTTGCCTAGATATGTCCTGTGCATTCTTGAATTGATAAACTGGAGAATGGCCATGCCATATTGTTTTTGTCCTTTGTTCTCGAAGCAGACCATGCCATATTAGGATGGACTGAAGGAACTAGGCATGCTTTGCCTGAGAAGAGAAGGCTTAGGGAGAATATGGTGGCAGTAAAAAAGGCAGGGTGGTTCAGAGGAAAGAAAGTTGGATTTAGTCAGAGGACCTGGGTTCAAATCCTGGATCTACCACTTAGTGACCCTGTGGGCCTCTTTTTCCTCAAGTGTAAAATTGGGAGGTTGGCCTGGATGTCTTCTGAGGTTCTCCAAAGCTCTACATCACCATCTTAGGATTCCAAATATTTAAT